ATTGAAAATAAGATGCTTTTTCATTCGACCAATCAATAATTACATAATCTTAGACGCAATCCGCGTTCGAACATTTATAACGAGTATTTTTATTCTTGGACGCCCTCATCATCGCTCTTTTCAACTTTAAAGGCGGAAAAGGGCAAATGATCACGATGATCCAGGCCACATAAGTTGAAATCGACACCCTTCGCTAGGAAAGCCTCCGCGGCCTGAAGAGCCGCGATCCAACCATGCTTAAAATTGTGATTCTCGCATCGGCAGACCTCCTCAGCAAGTGTCTCTTTCGTTTTGTCGATCCCAACCTTCCAGCCATCGTGGAAACCCTGCTCGTAACCCTTGGCCCTCGCATTTGCTACGACAAACATGCCTACCGTATCCCGGTCGGCGATGGCATGACTCAATAGCCGTTGGGTCACCCTCTCGTCCATAATCGGGTTAGACTGACCCGCCGTATGCGCATTGGCGACTTTAACCTTCCTAAGCTCTCTAAGCTCGCGCCTCGGCCTTTTTCGCACGAACCTCCGAACTGCGGACCCGTTCGTCCATTTTCTCCATCTCTCACCGAGCGGGGCGTAAACGCATGCCGACTTCGTAGGCGTTGTACAACCCCTTCACTGCCCATGAATACCTTCTCGAAACACTTCGAAATCTCGTCGTCCAACCATCGATTGTTGGACTTCCGGTGGAAAGATCTGTCGGGTGAACTCAACCGTTACACCCGGATCATTGACGATGGAATCCGCCTCAGTCATCGGTTTATTCCCCACGAACACCGCAAAACTCAATGGTCGTGGCGTCGCGTCTGCCTCATTCCTCAGTCGTGGTTGTGGGGAGCTTCTCCATTAATGCTTCTCTCTTCGGGGTGACCCGTTTCGATGGCTTGAAGGTTGACATTTTTCGCCTGCCTTGGACGTCCTTCCTCTCGTACACGCAGGCTCGCTGCTGCGATTTATCGCAGTACCTAGCTCAGCCAACGTTCGTCCCTCTCCTCTACTGTTAAAAAACAGTCTGTTCGATATTCACCCTCGCCCCAAGCTGGTAGTTCAAATCGAGTCTGAATAAGAATGAGTGGACCCACTGGCGCGAACTCACTCCACTTATTCATAGGCATGCAGCGACCCCGAAGCAATTTCATTAATGCTTTTGGCAGTCTCCAAACGACGGATGCATATTGGCCACATGCCGATTGATATGTGCCACAGCCACTTTATGTACTGATTTTTGGCTTGTTAAAACGGCCTAATTATCTAAACGGCAACTAGGGGCGAATGCCTTGAAGTCCATGCACTGGTTGGGGCAAGGGCAGATTTATTAATCTAACCGGCCGAGCATCTTGGCCACATGTCGATTGATATGTGCCACAACCACTTCATGTACTGATTTTTGGCTTGTTAAAACGGCCTAATTATCTAAACAGCAATTAGGGACGAATGCCTTGAAGTCCATGCACTGGCTGGGGTAAGGGCAGATTTATTAATCTAACCGGCCAAGCATCTTGGCCACATGCCGATTGATATGTGCCACAACCACTTCATGTATTGATTTTTGGCTTGTTAAAACGGCCTAATTATCTAAACGGCAATTAGGGGCGAATGCCTTGAAGTCCATGCACTGACTGGGGCAAGGGCAGATTTATTAATCTAATTGACCGAGCATCTTGGCCACATGCCGATTGATATGTGCCACAGCCACCATATACTGATTTTTGGCTTTTTAAACGGCCTAATCATCTAGTCGGCAAGTATACAAAACGTTTTATCGAAAACGGCAACCAAACAATTCCGTTCATTAGTAACAGCAAAGTTTAAAATGAATTTTCATCAAGTAAATTGAGCACAAGTTGTAACCATTTTACATATGAAAATTACTAGACAAAAACCTGTACAAAGCTGAAAATTACATGCAAATCCTAATACAAAAACAAGAGCCGCCCAAATTAGTCTTCGGAGTCAGACTCCAGCGGCTCAACATCGGCTTGCTCGTATGGAATCGGTGTAGCCAATGTCACATCAGCAGCAGCAAGGGTTTTGAGCCAGTCGTGTTTAAATCTCCGATTTTCAAATTTGGGGAGTTCGTCAACATATTCATCAAAAGCAGACTTCTTCCCAGCATCGAATGCGTTGGCAGCCTTCAGGTCGGCTGTTTCCGTCACCGCCTTCATCTCTTCCAACCCAGCCTCCAATTTAGAGATCGCCTCCCGGGCCAACTTAAGCGCGTCGTCGCTCGCGTTTGCCCTCTTCTCGGCGACTGATCTCAATTCTTCAGCACTGCAGGTTTTCTCCATCTCGGCCTCGACACAGGCGCCCTCTGTCTGCACCCTACTCCTTTTGCCCTCAACCTCGGCTTGTAAATGGCCAATTAGCTCGACGGCATCGTGATAGCGATGGCCCATGTCGGCTATCCTCCCGACGGCCTGCAAAACAGGAAGTCAAGAACAAAGTAATATTTGCATAAAGAGAAAAGACAGTCCAGATATATACCAAAAGAGCCGATTGCGCGGCCAACCCAATTGCAACCAGATCAGGCTCTGCCCGAAAAGTCGCCTTGTTGGCAGGCAATGAAACGGATGTCGCCAAGCTGAGTGCAACTGCTGGATCTTTGATTACCAAAGCATCGAAGGAGATCGGCGTATTTTTTATCTTGGGCTGAATAACAAAAGGTACAATCACATCCGATTCCTCCACACGAGGTCATTTGTCGGCATGGTCTTCTTCTGAGCCGGCCTCGGTGTCGGCAGGGCGTTTCTCCGCCCTTTGCTCAGCTTCTACACTAGCTTGCACAAAAGGTTTTGCCTTGGAACTTCCGTTCTTTGTCGTCCCCTCAATAACAGGCAAGGAGGTCTAGAACTGAGATTCGGCAGCCCGAATCTCCTCCGCGCGGCCATCCTTTCCGCGTTTGCCTTCTTGGCAAGTTTTGTGAGGCTCAACCCAACCATATCTTCTGGGAACACACTGGGAACGTCTTCCAGACCGTGAAAAATATCGTCGAGCGGACGGTCCTCTCGACCCAAAGTGGACGGAGGATCAGCCGAATTGAGACCGGCTTCTTCAAATGCTAACTTCAAAGCCTCATCAATCTCAGTTTCGGATTGGCCTGACTCGGCGGCCTCAGCTACTTACGGTCGCTTCGAATCTGATCCCTCGCAACCGACTTGTCTCAAATTTCTGAAATTAGTCAAGATAAGGGCGATAAGAGACTCCTTACCCTCCGAAATTAGGATGTTTTCCACCGTCAAAAAAGTCGTATAAGTCGACTCGTAGCGGAGCAGAACGTGGGCCGCTTTCCCCTGCTTCTGAAGACTCGGTCGGCCGAAATACTTGAGCGCAGTCCTGATTTTCGAAAGGACGGCCTCGTCGGTCGAGATCAAGACTTTCTTCAAATCGTTTCCTACAAAAGCAAAATTATGAGGTTCCAAAAATAAAGTTTTATAAATATAACAAGTAAATAATTAAAAGAAGATACTCGGCCACCTAGTTCGCTCCTCCGTCTAGGAATACGATCAAGGCGGTCCTCGCCTTCGCCGAATTCCCAGTTTCCTTGGACGACGACCATAACATCATCGACTCGCTTCCCAGAGCTGGAAAGCATAGTCACTAGTTGATGGTCGGTGTCTTTGGCCCTAAGGAAATAACGCCCGTGCCGACTAGAAGACTTGGCCAAGGCATAGCAATGCCGAATAGCGAGAATGCCAAGGTTAAGCCTAAGGCAGCGATTTAGTGTGACAATTCTCATCATGATCCTATAGAAGTTGACGTTGGGTTGGGAAGGGATTAACCCCCAATGGCAAAACACGGCCCTAAGGAGTGGGTGAAGGAGAAAATGGACCCCACCCTCTGCGATTGATAGAAGAGGGAAGACGATCGTGGTTTCATCAACTCTCTTCATATCGAGGGTGTTGTCTACCACAAATGACAGACGGACATCATCAGGAATGGAAAAATGGCGTCGGAAGCCAGAAATTTGATCCGGTGAAAGGAGATCTTTTAAATGTTTCGCCATTCCCCCAGCCAATAAGATTATGCTAAGCCAAAAAACAAAGCAAAGAATGAGAGAACTTACAAGAGGCGAAGGAAATAGAGAAGAGTAGGAGGTTGCAGAGGTAGTTCGGAAGGCAATCCAGCGACGGGCGTCTAAAAGCATGTATGCATTTGAAAAGACGTCGAAATTTTAAATCACAATAAATAGAAATGTACGAAAAGGCGGGAAGTTGAAGTGACAACCGGAACGCGTGTACAGACATTTGCGTTGGGATACAGTCAGCTGCCGAATTTCGGCTTTGACTCTTCGAGTTCGAAGCCAAACATTCCAGCCAACTGTCGTTAGTGGAGTGCTTGGGGGGCAATTGTGGGGGTCGAAAAGAGGGAGTCGTAGAGATTCCGGATAGCCGAATCTCAGAGAGTCAAGATTCGAAGCACTCGGCAATTGACTCACAAGCTCAAATCCAACCCTATTCGGCCAAATGACCGATTAGGCAAAAGGCCGAGTGAAGGTCGATCTATTGTAAAATGCGCCGAATGAGTTGGAAATGGATCGAATCACGAGGCCCATGGAAGAAAAGATATAAATAGAAGAACATCAGCCAGAAAGAGGTATGTGAGAATTATTGTGCTTAACTTATAATACAAGCATTCTTGAGTATGGATTCTGACTCGTCCGTCGGAGTGCTAATTCCGGCACCCT